TTTCTCCACCTGGCTTATTTCACTGAGCATAATACCCTCTAGCTCCATCCATGTTGTTGCAAATGGTAGGATTTGTTTTCTTCTTATGGCTGAATAATACTCCATTGTGTATATGTACCACATCTTCTTTATGCATTCATCTACTGATGGGATATCAGAATATTTTTATTTACATCAACTGCTGGAGCCATTTTGACTGTTGTGGTTGTTTTTCAAAGAGAGCTGATATGAGTCTTAAAGTGCCATTTATAAGTCTCCTGAAAAGTTGTCATATCTGCCCCAAGGTTTTTATCTCAGTCCCACTTAGGTGGGACAAAAGCCCAGGACACAGAGCTGACAAGAGCTCTAGAAGGGGCTGGCGGCCTTGCTGCCTGTGTGTGCTTCTGTTGCACTTGGGTACTTAACCAGTGTTTTGGCAATTCCCAGGTATAAATAAAAGAGGAGAATTAGTAGATAATTTTGTCTTAGAATTATCAGTGTAGTGCTTCAATAGAAATGCATGGGGGGAGGAGGGAATGCAGGGCTTCCTTCCACTTCATTTATTTCCACATTTTGTTTTACATTGAATTTAATTAAAATAGGCTGGTCGAATATCTGAGTCAACAGCTTGTGAGAAAATAAGCAATTCAGACAAGCCTTTGCTTTTGGTGTTGATATAGTAGTTATTCATTTGGATTTATTTTATTTTTATTGGGGAATGAAACTAGAAAAATGATCAAGATAAAGATGTACATACAGCACAGTGAATTTTCTCAAGAAGCAGTTCATATATTAATGGTGGGGATGTAAAATGGTGTAGCCCCTTTGGAAAACAGTTTGGCAGTTCCTCAAAAAGTTAAACAGTTAACATATGACCCAGGAGTTCTGCTTCTAGGTGTCTATCCAAGGGAATTAAACATATGTCTACACAAAAACTTATGCAAGTGTTCATAGCAACGTTATTCATAATTGCCAACAAGTAGAAACAACCCAAATGTCCGTCATCCGATGGATGGATAAACAAGGCGGTTGGTCCATACAGTGGAGTGTTCATTCATGAAGAGGCATGAAGTACTGATGCATGCTATATAACATGGATGTACCTCAGAAACATCCTGAGAAGCTAGTCACAAGAGGCCACATGATTCTGTTTGCATTAAATGTCCAGAATAGGCAAGTCCACAGAGACAAAGTAGAACTGTGGTTGCCAGGCGAGGGGTAGGGTGGAGGGACAGGGTTGGCAAGTGACTGCTGACAGGTATGAGATTTATTTTTGAGGTGATGAAAATGTTCTGGAATTAGTGGTGATGACTGTACAACTCTGTGAATCTACCAAAACCCTTTGAATGATACACTTTAAAAGGGTGAATTTTATGAGATATATATCTCAGCTGTTTTAAAAAAAAAAGGCAAACCAAACTATCTGTTTTGTTTTGTTTTTACCATCCAGGTTAATAGAGACAGTGCCCCAGAAGCCCCGCCCACCATCTCACTGCCAATCCCTGTCCCAGGTTATCCTTGGGGGAAAAAATAGCTGTTTGTATTGTAACTGTTGACTTCTCAGAGGCAGCCATTGTTTTGGACTCAGCCTGAGGGAGGCTTTATGCTCTCAGCACTGGTAGGGTCCAGAAGGGAACTTTTTGTAAAGTACCATTTTAATCAAATCCTTCTTTATGACTTCATGGTGCTAATGTGACCTATCTTTCAAAAGAGGTAGCTACACACTCCTGACTCTCCTGACTTGCCTTTTTTTTTTTTGAGGGCTGAAATATTATTCCATCATGTTTAATAGTGGATAAAAGGCAGTACACAGGAATAAAGCATGAATGTACATAGAAAGGTGCCTACTGCCATAAGAGTTGGTCTATTTAAAATGATATGAATGTTCCAAACATGTAAAATGCCTTTTTTAGCAGGTTATAGTACTGAAATTTTTTTATCACTATGAAAAAAATTATCTTTTTTTATTATCAATATACACTCCTTTGAAGGTTTCACATGAAAAACATTGTGTTTACTACATTCACCCATATTATCAAGTCCCCGCCATACCCCATTGTAGTCACTCCCTATCAGTGTTGACGTGCTGCTTTTTTATAGAGATAATATGGAATTAAAATTTTTAAAGAACTGTTTGAGTGACAAGACATACCACATATATTGTTAGCCTGATCTCTTTATCAGTAGCATGGATTTTATTAACTAGGAAATACTTATTTCATCTGCTTACTCATAGCTGCTTCCCTTCCCCCAACACCTGCACTAGACAGGGATTATTGAATACTCTGTTTTGGTGGAGTAGATTAGCATTAGAGTTCTTTATTCTACATACCCGATCTTCAATGTTAAACTACCTTTAAATGTTTTCACATGCTTTTAAATATTTGAAATTTAAAGTAAGGTCAGTGTTGTTTTTTTGCTTTTCAGTGATGTGTTGGCATTGCCCATTTTCAAGCAAGAAGATTCCAGCCTTCCATTGGATGGTGACACTGAACACCCCCCCTTTCAGTATGTGATGTGCGCTGCAACATCACCAGCAGTAAAGCTGCATGATGAAACGCTCACTTACTTGAACCAAGGTTAGTAGGGCTAATAAGTCTTTTTATATAAGAATTTATAAAAATCCAAAATAAGTGTTTTGGCATTGTAGCCTAGATTACTGGTAATAATTTAAAATTAGATTTTTTTTCTTAAAATTTACAGCTGAAGTTAACAGAAATTGTGGGAATTGTATTGTGAGCCAACAGAGTAATAGGTTGTAGAAGCTGATTTGCATGAAGAGGGTCTGTGGAACACAATGTATTATAGGGTTTTTCAGACAAAATCCAAAGGAGGAGTAAGTAGGATAGGATGTCAGTTATTTTAGGAACAGTTTCAATATGGAACTTGAGAATGAATGAGAAGTTCAGCTAGCAAGGAACCTGGGCCTCAGGCATGAAGCAAGTTTGTGGTGAAAATAGACATAAGCTGCACCAAGATAGAGTCTGTAGCTCAAGTAAACCATGTCAAATTTTTTCTACCTGTATCTTATCTATACTTGATGATAATATTATGTTTTAGCGATATGAAAGAGTGGGCAGAATGGAAAATAGAGATGCTGGGAGTGGTGTAGACTTTACTTTCAGGAAATATAGGGAATTTTCCTGGGGTGCTCTCAGCAGTTTGGGTACAGGCCAGGGTAATGATGAAAATGTTCTGGAATTAGTGGTGATGACTGTGCAACTCTGTGAATCTACCAAAACCCTTTGAATGATACACTTTAAAAGGGTGAATTTTATGAGATATATATCTCAGCTGTTTTAAAAAAAAAAGGCAAACCAAACTATCTGTTTTGTTTTTACCATCCAGGTTAATAGAGACAGTGCCCCAGAAGCCCCGCCCACCATCTCACTGCCAATCCCTGTCCCAGGTTATCCTTGGGGGAAAAAATAGCTGTTTGTATTGTAACTGTTGACTTCTCAGAGGCAGCCATTGTTTTGGACTCAGCCTGAGGGAGGCTTTATGCTCTCAGCACTGGTAGGGTCCAGAAGGGAACTTTTTGTAAAGTACCATTTTAATCAAATCCTTCTTTATGACTTCATGGTGCTAATGTGACCTATCTTTCAAAAGAGGTAGCTACACACTCCTGACTCTCCTGACTTGCCTTTTTTTTTTTTGAGGGCTGAAATATTATTCCATCATGTTTAATAGTGGATAAAAGGCAGTACACAGGAATAAAGCATGAATGTACATAGAAAGGTGCCTACTGCCATAAGAGTTGGTCTATTTAAAATGATATGAATGTTCCAAACATGTAAAATGCCTTTTTTAGCAGGTTATAGTACTGAAATTTTTTTATCACTATGAAAAAAATTATCTTTTTTTATTATCAATATACACTCCTTTGAAGGTTTCACATGAAAAACATTGTGTTTACTACATTCACCCATATTATCAAGTCCCCGCCATACCCCATTGTAGTCACTCCCTATCAGTGTTGACGTGCTGCTTTTTTATAGAGATAATATGGAATTAAAATTTTTAAAGAACTGTTTGAGTGACAAGACATACCACATATATTGTTAGCCTGATCTCTTTATCAGTAGCATGGATTTTATTAACTAGGAAATACTTATTTCATCTGCTTACTCATAGCTGCTTCCCTTCCCCCAACACCTGCACTAGACAGGGATTATTGAATACTCTGTTTTGGTGGAGTAGATTAGCATTAGAGTTCTTTATTCTACATACCCGATCTTCAATGTTAAACTACCTTTAAATGTTTTCACATGCTTTTAAATATTTGAAATTTAAAGTAAGGTCAGTGTTGTTTTTTTGCTTTTCAGTGATGTGTTGGCATTGCCCATTTTCAAGCAAGAAGATTCCAGCCTTCCATTGGATGGTGACACTGAACACCCCCCCTTTCAGTATGTGATGTGCGCTGCAACATCACCAGCAGTAAAGCTGCATGATGAAACGCTCACTTACTTGAACCAAGGTTAGTAGGGCTAATAAGTCTTTTTATATAAGAATTTATAAAAATCCAAAATAAGTGTTTTGGCATTGTAGCCTAGATTACTGGTAATAATTTAAAATTAGATTTTTTTTCTTAAAATTTACAGCTGAAGTTAACAGAAATTGTGGGAATTGTATTGTGAGCCAACAGAGTAATAGGTTGTAGAAGCTGATTTGCATGAAGAGGGTCTGTGGAACACAATGTATTATAGGGTTTTTCAGACAAAATCCAAAGGAGGAGTAAGTAGGATAGGATGTCAGTTATTTTAGGAACAGTTTCAATATGGAACTTGAGAATGAATGAGAAGTTCAGCTAGCAAGGAACCTGGGCCTCAGGCATGAAGCAAGTTTGTGGTGAAAATAGACATAAGCTGCACCAAGATAGAGTCTGTAGCTCAAGTAAACCATGTCAAATTTTTTCTACCTGTATCTTATCTATACTTGATGATAATATTATGTTTTAGCGATATGAAAGAGTGGGCAGAATGGAAAATAGAGATGCTGGGAGTGGTGTAGACTTTACTTTCAGGAAATATAGGGAATTTTCCTGGGGTGCTCTCAGCAGTTTGGGTACAGGCCAGGGTAACTTAGCAGTGTAAATAAAAGTACTGTGTTATGTGGAATGAATTTGATGGATACAACACTGAAAACATGTTGAACTCCTATTTTTTTTAAAAGTTGAACATTTCTATTGTTATAACCACAGTGTATATTTATCGTAGAAAAATTAGGAAATATGTCCTGGGATAAAGCTGGAAATTGACTGCAGTTGTATCCCACCAAGATGATAATTAACAACTTGGGTATATTTTCTTGTGTTCATATTGATTTTATTTTTTCAAAAAATGGAAATAAAACGTCTGTTCACTTAAGAGTATATTGCAATTATTTTCTGTCATTATAGAGTCTTTATTAATTCCTTGAACTTTTGGAAAGAGCTGTAGAATTTAGACTATTGTGATTAATATTCTGAAATGTGGAAGAATGGCTTATTTATAACTTCATTTGAAACATAAATTTAGAATATATGAAGTTTTACTTCAACTCATTCTACTATTTGTAGCACAGTACCCTTTGTTGTTAACATCAGTATTTGGGAGGGCATTCAGTTTATTAGATTCATGTTTGTATTTCATTCATAATTGAAAGAACCTTAAAAGTTTCTATGTGGTAATCTGTTTTAGACATAAGAATATCCAGAGAAACAATGGAGGGCCAAGCAGTATTTCTAATGACAGAAAAGGAAGTACCCTGAATTTCTGTTGGGGAATATTGTATAAATTCCATTATGTACATCCCCTGGGATTAATGTGGGCATGCATGTACATGTGGGCCCCTCTGCCCTTTTAAGGAATGTGTTGGATGTGTCTCTTGGCCTGAGGAATACCCAAAGTTTATGACTGTAACTGTTAAACTAGAAACAGAGAGTTCATATTGAAGAGTCACATCCACTATCTGTGGTGTCTTTGCCTGGTATTAGAGTGTTGCTGGTCTCACAGAATGAGTTTAGGAGTATTCCCTCCTCTTCTACTTTTTGGAAAACTTTAAGGAGGGATGGGTATTAGTCTTCACTAAATGTTTGATAAAATTCAGCGGTGAAGCCATCTGGTCCAGGAATTTTGTTTTCAGGTAGTTTTTTGATTACCAGTTCAATTTCATTGCTAGTAATTGGTCTGTTCAGATTTTCTATTTCTTCCTGGGTCAGTCTTGGAAGGTTGTATTTTTCTAGAAAGTTGTCCATTTCTTCTAGGTTATCCAGTTTGTTAGCATGTAATTTTTCATAGTATTCTCTCATAATTCTTTGTATTTCTGTGGTGTCCCTAGTGATTTTTCCTTACTCATTTCTGATTGTGTTTATGTGTGTAGAGTATTTTTTTCTTGATAAGTCTGGCTAGGGGTTTGTCTGTTTTGTTTATTTTCTCAAAGAACCAGCTCCTGCTTTGATTGATTATTTCTAATGTTTTATTCTTGTCAATTTTATTTATTTCTGCTCTAATCATTATTATGTCCGTCCTTCTACTGACTTTGGGCCTCATTTGTTCTTCTTTTTCTAGTTTTGTTAAGTAAGTTTAGACTGTTCATATGGGATTGTTCTTCTTTCCTGAGATAGGCCCATATTGCAGTATACTTCCCTCTTAGCATGGCCTTTGCTGTGTCTCACAGATTTTGCAGTGTTAAATTATTGCCATTGTCTCCATATATTGCTTGATCTGTTTTTTATTTGGTCATTGATCCATTGATTATTTAAGAGCCTATTGTTAAACCTCCGTGTGTTTGTGGGTGTTTTCATTTTCTTTGCGTTGTTTATTTCTAGTTTCATACCTTTGTAGTCTGAGAAGCTGGGTAGTACAGTTTCAATCTTTGTCAATTTACTGAGGCTCTTTTTGTGGTCTAGTATATGATCTATTCTTGAAAATGTTCCATGCCATGTGCACTTGAGAAGAATGTGTATCCTGCTACTTTTGGGTGGAGTGTTCTGTAGATAACTGTTTGGTCCATCTGTTCTAATGTGTTGATCAGTGCCTCTGTCTCCTTATGTATTTTTTGTCTGGTTAATCTGTCCTTTGGCATGAGTGGTTTGTTGAAGTCTCCTAAAATGAATTCATTGCATTCTACTTCCCCCTTTAATTCTGTTAGTATTTGTTTCATATATGTAGGTAGTCCTGTGTTGGGTGCATAGATATTTATAATGGTTATATCCTCTTGTTGGACTGACCCCTTTACATTATGTAATGCCCTTCTTTGTCCCTCATTACTTTCTTTGTCTTGAAGTCTATTTTGTCTGCTACAAGTACTGCAGCTCCTGCTTTTTTCTCACTATTAGTTGCATGAAATATCTTTTTCCATCCCTTCACTTTTAGTTTGTGTATGTCTTTGGGTTTGAAGTGAGTCTCTTGTAGGCAGCATGTAGACGGGTCTTTTTTTTTATCCATGCAGTGACTCTATGTCTTTTGATTGATGCATACAGACCATTTGCATTTAGGGTGATTATTGATACGTATGTACTTATTGCCGTTGCATGCTTTTATTTTGTGGTTACCAAAGGTTCACGGGTAATTCCCTTACTATCTAACAGTCTAATTTA